TTCCCTACAGTTAATATATCGATGTGCGTATTGTATCGCAGTATATCGCAGTATATCGCGTTATATTGTATCACCAGATTCTTGCCAATACACCCCTGCGGCTGAGTTAGATGCTCGAATTTCCAAGTTGCTCCAGTTGCGACTGTAGTTACAGTGAAGCTGTTGCTTCTTATGCCGTTGCTGTAAGTCACTCTGAATTTACTGCTCGTTAACTGTTTTACTGCTTCGTTGCAACTTTACAGCCCTTCAGAGGAAGGACATTCATCTTAATCTGTGACAAATGAACATTTTTAGCAGTGTCTTTAGCTCTTTATGTGCAGTTGATAAAATATTTATGCCCAATCCCTGGCCGTCTTTCTAAATCTTTCTGTTTTTGCTCTTTTTGCTCGACCCTTCTCTCCCCCACTACTCCATGGTGTCTCCTCTTCCTCTTCCACTTCCACTCTCTCTGCCTTCAATTTCTTCCATCCTCCCCTCCTTCCTCCCTCTTGCTTCCTCTGCTCCTCAGTGTTCCCAATCTGAATAGTGACCTGTTTGATCTTCAGCCGGCCTTCATACCTGCTGTGCAGAGCTCTCCTTCCATCTCCACCGCCAACAGTGCCTGGGGAGGTACGGCTACCGTCTCACACACACACACACACACACACACACACACACACACACACACATTTCCATTTATATATGAAGGCACTGACTCTGATGCAAGTATGCAAATAAATCAAGCACATGACAAGTGAATTTATTTCTGGATTATTCCCTCTGGCCAATCACTCGCCTGTCTCAGCATCAGCCTGTCACAACAGTCATTTGTCTCTTAATGAAAACGTCCAACCACCCACAATCCTCGAACAAGTGATGTGGCTACATTTATGTTGTAAATGTACAAAAATGAACAAAACTGTTACAATCAAAGTGAACATAGTTATGTCACTATCTTACATAACCACTGGAGTGGAACTCTTGAAACATAAAAAAACCATAATATTCACAATATTTCTGGATCTAAAGATACTTTTGACATTTTGGTTTATGTTAAATAAGCTGCTTCTCTTTAACTGTTCTGCAATAGGAAAATGTAAGCCAACCTCTTCTTTTTATTTTTCCCTGCAGTCCCTTTTGTTTTTTGTTTTTTTTTCCCTTTTTTTGCTGCTTTTGTTTTCTTTTGGGCTTTTGTCCTTAGGACCCATTTTGTCTATTTTGTATTCCTTTCCACATTTTTTTTCTTCAAACCTTTTGCTGTTTTGTCTCTTTTTGCTCTGAAGCCTTGCATTTTCAACATATAAATCTTTTTACACTGAGCAGCAAACCAAAGGAAATTTCTGCTTAGATTTAACCTCCTTTTGCTCTTTTTTTCCTTTTTTTTTCTTTTTGCTTGTCTGAGTGAGAACAGTGGCCACAGAAATGCTGAGCAGCCTGACAAATACACACACATAATTAAACTTTAGCATCACATGATAACTTTCCGTGCCGTGTGACCTCTAACTAGAGGAGTGAAGTCGCGTTCAGCCCTCAATCACCTTATCTTGAATCAAAAAACTTTCTGTCAGCGCAAAGTATTACAGACAATGGAGGATTTAACAGAAGTCTTTTATAAAGAGGTTGGTCCGACTGGTGTTAAGCTTCAGATATCAACCTGTTATGACATTGGGACCTGTGGGATAAATCTCCTCTGTTCTTCTCCATAAATAACACACCGTGCGTGTCCTTCTGTAAATGTCCACAGCTGCAGAGAGACAGAGGTGCTGGTAAAGTTTACTTTAGTTTCACTTTTAGTTACTACAGAAGGGGAACATTTTTTGCTTCATAAAAATCGTTGCTTCTTGATTATCTGTAGCTGTCATGTTTTTCTGAAATCTTAGCTGTAGTGATGACATATTTATTCATAGCCATGGTGGTGCACTGAGTTGTGTATCTCCTCTTCGGTGATTCCCACAAACACTGCACCTCTCTGAGGCTTCCTGGCCTAATTCCCTACAGGGATGGAGATGATGACAAGATGAAAAAAACAAAAACAACAAAAGGACCATCATTGTGTTTCCTCGTGTAAATCGTGACATTCCCAGCAGCCTGCATCATTCCTGAATTACAAAGGAAGCAGCAACAATGGCGATGCACTGGAGAACATCATGTTCTCGTTCTAAATCTGAAGGGATTAGTTTAGTGGGAGGTGGTGGATCCTCACCACTTCAAAGCCAGCATATAGGCCCTACAAAAAACACAATCTAACATTTGTATTTGCATGGCTGTCGGCTCCTACACACAGGGCGTTTCCACTGATTGCACTCCAAAGAATACATGCTCTGTAAGCTTTGGTTCGACCAAAGTTAGAGGAAAATGCCGAACCAGCAGTTGTTCTGCACAAGAACACACACCATCAGGCTCTGTGCAACAGTGCAGATTGTTCACTCTGTGCAGAGAAGCTTTTTGAAAGTATTTAGAGGAATAAGGACAAGGTATTTGCAGTTGAAGCCATTAATGTAATTTTAAGATGAATGATTGAGTATTTTTTTTTAATTCTAGGCTGTCTAATATTTGTATCAATGGGACAAATATTTTTTCTTTTATACTGTTTATTGACTGACTAGGGTGGTAACGATATAACTAACTCACAATACGAATCACAAAATTTTTTTTGTTCACAATATGATTTTATCACAATGTATTTGAAACAAAATACAACTGTAAGAACTGGGCAAATTAACTTTACCAACTGAAGTTATTTTGAGTACCTCATAGCTGAAGTGGTTATCTGAAGCAAAAGAATATAAGAAAATGCACATTTCTTTACAGAAGCACTGCACGTCACCATTTATCTCCTCTTATTAAAAGTAAAAAAGTCTATTGATTTTGCTAGCTGTCAGTATATTGAACATCAAATGAAAATATTAACTGAAAAGAGTTTCTTTCTTTAAAGAAAGACTGTAAACACTTTGTGTCCTCTTGACACTGAACAAGGATAACAAAAAGAATGGGATTTAGGGCCACAATGAGAGACACTGTTGGATTTTATTCATTATTTGCACGAATGCTTATTTGTGAAGTAGGAAGTCCATCAACGCAGAGAACAGGTGGTTCTGGCAACCTTCTAAAAAAATTGTTACAACGTCGGAGGAGGCACAGTGCTGACTTTAATTAGAGGTTTGAGAAGTTTCATGTCTTCGTCATCACGGACAACTGAGTTGTCCAGTGTGTTGACTTCAGGGTCCCTAGTCAAACTTCTGGGCTTAGTAGAGCAGGGGTCACAGCCAGTTACAGTGTGAGACAGCACTCACTCATACTTGGGTTGCTATCCCACCCTGTGGTAACGTCCACGTGTAACATGTAAACTGAGAATCCAAAATGTCGCTACTCGACTGATTTACAATTGCTCTGACCATATTCTATGTCAATGTTACTGCTTACTGCCACCATGTCTTCCTATGTGCTGTTTGAACACTTGAATGTCACACAGCTAACCTAATGACGTGGTGTAGTGGTTTAATAGCGGGTCACTCACAAGCGTACTGCCACCTACTGTACTGGACTGTGTAGTCTCTGGGTATGACCACTGACTTTTTGAGATGACACTGTCTACTCCTAACGATGCATTGCGATTAATTAAAAAAAAAAAGTATACGGATCATCACGCCTATGAAATCAATAAATCATTAAATCCCTACGTATAACTAAAAGTTAGCCCAAAATACCAAAAAAGCACCAGTGCACTTAGACAAAATGTTTAAGAGAATCCAAAAATTAGCCATAATGGCCCATTTTTAATGTGTTTTTTAGTTCTCACAAACACTCACAAGTGTTTAGGTTCTAGTTCATCCAAGTCATTTGATTTAAAGCAGTCAAGTAGAAGACAACTGGACTGTTTCGGTTTCTTTAAACGTTTCTTGAAACGTTTCACCTCTCACCTCTCTTAAAGACTTTTTTTTTTAAAGGCCCTTAAGCAGATATTTCCTTTTTTGTAGTACTTGAATGTCAACATTGCCCACCTGTGATGAAAATGTCACTCACCTGATGTAACTACATCCCTCAGGACTGGAGAACCAGCCTCTGCAGCAGACTACACCGGCCATGACTGTAGATTTCGATGCTGTGTTTGGAAATAAGGCCTCGCCCAGTAACAACGGTCTACAACCTGCAGCTGGTAAAACGACCTCTGTCCGACTGTCCGGACAGGATAAAAAAAAAAAAAACTAAAACTTTTTATCTTTCCTGCTGGCAGCTCGAGCGCTTTATTACTAACTCTAATGAAAAGTTTCTTATATTCTATACACTTTGCTTTTCTCGGCTGTGTGCTTTTGAGGCCTTATAGCTTTCACGTAGCAGCTGCTTCAATGGACATAATCAATTAAATGAACCTAAATATTAAAGATACTTATGCATTTGCAGAGTCAATGGAAGTCAAATTTAAGTCAACAGATTAAACTCTTGATGATGTGGATTAAATTATCTGAAATTTTAATGTAATGTGACTTTAAGCTTTAAACCTATTTCAGTGATTGATCCTTGGATCAGTAACCACTCAGCTGTAAGTGTTCATTTGAATGCAGTCTTATCCTGTTCAGTTAAACCAAGAAAAAAAAATGTAAATCCTCCTTCATACTTTTTACACTACAAAATCCGAACATCAATTCAACCTTAATTTGTTTTTTCTCTTTATCTACTTTCAACTCAGGCTGTTTTTGTTTTTGTTTCATTTTTTACTTTGGGGAGAATCAAGTTTTTAAAAAGCAAAAAGTTTAAAATGAAGGAAAAGTCAAGTTCTCCTAGAACTTTTAATCATTAAATGAGCAAAAGAAGAAGAAAAAGACAATGTTTGTGTCTTGTTGCGGCTTCCTGTCTGTAATGGTTGCAGAGACAGATTTCGACTGATGGCTCCTAAGTGTTGTGGGTCTGAGACATTGGCTTGCTGCCCCCCTCATTACCTTTCTTTCACTTAACCTCCCTGGCAGCTGACGCAATCAATCGCTCTTCCTCTCATCCCGTGTGGGTCTTGAGAAAGTCCTGCGGGTGTCTAATTTTAAAGTGCAGTGAGCAAGTGAAAGAGATCATCTGAAATTTACAGGCAACTGTGGAATGTATTACATTTATAATGGCGTCTGATCCATCATCTCAGCCTAAAGATCCATCATCTCAACTATCTGAGGAAAGCCTTCAGTAATTTATCACCCGGTCACCCAGCTTTTACAGAAACAGAGTAGAATTCGCTTTTACTCCTATGATATAATCCAGTGCAGGACTCCCAGAAGTGAAGCACCAGCATAATTAGACTGTATCATGGCCTGGGAGTAAAATAAAAACATTATACCTGTAGGCAGAAAGTAGCTGAAACATAAAAAGGTGGACTACAACTGTGATTCTTCAGGGGTCCTGTTAGTTAGGGAGCCCCTGTACAGTAAAGTATCTTTAAAATTGTACAGTGTTCTGTTTACCAGGAACAGTTGGAGGCTCCGGTGTGCAGTCTGGTCCTGGTTCTGGTTTTAGCCTGACCGTCTTTGTCCTATAAATAGAGCTTGAATTTGCTGCAGTCCACCATCTGGTCCACTGGCAGAGCCTCACTCAAAATGTCACACCAAATCCCTGCCTGTGTGTGTGTGTGTCCTATGTGCATGTGACTACTTGTGTAGGTGTTTGTAACCGTGTGTGTCTGTTTGCCCATCACTTCTCCTTTTCCCTCCATCCCATCTGTCTGTTTCTGCTTGTTTTATTTTACTGTTGATCCTCAGACCTCACGTCTCCTCCTCCTCCTCCTCCTCGTCTTCTCCTCCTTTATTTGTCTTGGTATCCCTCGCTCTTGTCTTGCCTCATCGTTTCCTCATCACACTTCACAAGGCAAGAATCACCCAGGCAACTCCTTTCCATCTGTTCTCCCCCACCTCCTCCACCTTACAGTTCTCCCTTGTTTATTTTCTAATAATTTCTCTAGATTGGCTCCATTTTCTGTATTCAAGCTCTGGTATTTTCTAAGTTTAGGATGATTCTTTGCTTACTTTAAAAAGCGTTTTTGTTACATTTATACTTGTTTTGGGGAAGCACACATTGACTGTTAATAAGAAATGTTTATCGCTAGGTATGCATGATACGAGCAATGACAGTATTCAATAAATGAGTACGTTTTAATAAGTTAAGTTAAGTAGGAATTTGGTTATTTATTCTGCCAAATGTGAGCTATAGCCTCTGTAATTTCAGTGTATTATTTAGAGGACTTTTCATATGGATTCACATTCACAAAACTGCAATGAACTATTGCTGCTCTGATGGCCTTGGCGATTATTACACTCGATCGCGCAGGCCTACGTAGATACAGCCCTTGTAGAAGTGAAGCCATTTGAGTAGAGCAGGTGCATCTTCAATAGTCGGGGGCGACTACGCAAAACAATTCTATCCAGATAGAAGTTTAAAACTGAGGAGTGTTCAGTAATCTTTATCATTGCACTTAGTTGGTAGGAGAATACAAAGCTGTGCATTAATGACTGGGCTTTATTGAATTTGGCATTAGGATATTCACACCTTCACCTGTATGACCATTAATCAATAATTCCAGTGTTATCTTCCGGTAGTGGCGTCATTTGTTCATTTATTTTATTCCAGTGGATATTTATCATCTGACTGCTAAGGGATAATGAGCTTGGCGTTCAACATATTTTTCTCCTCAAAGGGCACTTCTCTGTTTTCTCTTGTCTCCTCTGACAGCCCCTGCAATTACTTCCTGCAGACTCAGGAATGTAATTTCCACTGGAAGATTGCTGACTGGTCACTTTGCAGTTTATCTGAGCAAATGCATTTGCTGTCACAGACATATTGCAGTATTTAGGTTCTCAGCTGGTTTTCAGATCAGGTGTTGTAATATTGGGTTTGTTGCCAATGGGTTTCAAGGTTTTGAAGTTGCTTGTGTGTACGTTCATATGTTTTTATTATTCAGTTGTCCGTATATCGTTGGGCCTTTTGGCAGTAGTAAGTACTTTATGTATTATATTGTGACTGTTATGTGTGAAGTCACTCGTTGTACCTACCTGTTGTAGTAGGACTGGGTGATGTATTGAGTCTATCAGTTTTTTTTATATTAGGTGAGGAATTGGACAATACTTCAAAAATAGGGATGTCAAGTTCCTCAAGTTAATAGAAACCGTATATACTGTATATACTATATATATGTATATATTTATTTATATTCATTCCAACAGTCATTTACCTAATACATGTTTGTGCATGGAAGAAAATCGCAGTGTTTACTTGTAATTTAATCCATTTAACTGTTTGGTACCACTTAGGACTTTTAATTTATATCTGCAATTTATATCTTTTAAATAAAACTCCTGTGCAACTTAGAAAATGTCTTTACTATATGTTGTTACCAATTTTTAAGGAAAACATATAGTGTGTATCAGGTTTTAGCAGGAGTATTGAGTATTGATATAGCAAGTATTTATTTGATGTTTGTAGTGAGGTCAGCAGGTCAGCTGAGTCCTGTGTGTTTCCACCACTGTGAACCAACACCAGTAGTAAATGAATAAGTACATTGTCTGTATTGGGTGAGTTTGAGCTCTTGTACTTCTGAGTACTTAAGGTAAATGTGAGAGTCCAAAATGGGGTGACGCTAGTTTTCTTTTCTTTCGTTTCACCTCTCATCCAAGAGGCTTCTTCTTCAGTTCTAACTGGTGGTGGGGAGTACAGCAAATATATACTCTAGGTGTGCAAGTTTTCTGTTCTGTTAGGCAACTGGACGTGAATTTTCTAAAAGACGTTTCTAACAGAACTTTTCAACCTTGACCATGACCTGGATGACGATGAGAATCTTCATAGACATTTAAACCAGACAGTTTGGCTATGGCTTTATTTTGTGTTTATTTTTAGTTGATTTCTGCAAAGAAATGTATTAAAGTCTTTGGGTTTTGGCTGCAGCTCCACACTGGGAACTAGCGATGTCAGTGCTGTCATTTCTGATGTTGATTAATCTTAATGACCTTCTTGAATTGAGTTCTCAGTTGACTTTATCACTTTGATCCATCACTATTAAATGCCAGTATAGGAGCGTCATGTTTTTGATATTTTTAGAATGCACCTAGTCTTTTCTCACCCCCTGCCCCCTCATCCTGAAAAACAACAAACAGACAAGGCACCAAACGACCGCAAAATATGTTGTTGATTTGTAGTAGCATTTAACAGGATACTGAGCTTTGTGTCACTTTGCACTTTTCCTTACAAATGCAATACACAAAAAAGAGGGTTTTTTTCACACTACACTTGAGACTTGAGCACTCGTCTGCCTCCTTTTTTTCCAAGTTGTAATGTATCATTTCATAACATCTGTATTTGAAATATTTTGTTTGGATTTACCTCAGGGAAACAACCTCACCAAATGAGGCAGCAGGAGACCAGCAGCGCCTGTGTCCCCTTCAGCTAAAATTGCTGATTTTCTCTATGGACTTCTGTGCTGCCGTCACCACCTTGTACTGTACAATGCTTGTTACATCTTCAGCCTCTGCAAACATCCAATCATAAAGCCAAGTTGTTCAACTTCTCTAACACTTGGAGGCAACATGTTTCCTCCTGCCTCCGCACTGCAGTTGGACTGGAGCCCATGACATGGATTAACTTCCTTCCCTTTGATCTCCAAACTCAATCGAGTGTCAAATCCATCGCAGGAAACACCTAAACTAACAGGGGGCGCATTATCCACGCACTTATATTACATCCATCACTGCCTTCGCTTCATCACCTCCAACTACTTCTCCCAACGACTCCCTTCATCTGTTTTCTTGCCTTCAGTGCCTCGTGTTGCTGTATATTTCTCCTACACACACACACACACACACAGTCAGCCCCAAAACTCCTTTATCTCTCTTTCCTCTCCTCTGCTGCTCCCCTGGTTCAATTTAATTCACTGGACTTCACTGACAAACTGCTTTAGGGAACAAAAAAAAAGGAAAAAAAATTACCCATGTTTCCAGAGTGTTTTATCTCCGTCACAGTAATAATGGAAACACCGACAGTGGGAGAGAAATTAGGGTCAGGAGAATTTAAAGAATGTTGAGCAAAACTCTTCCTCTTCTTTTTCTTCCTCTGTTCTCTGTTTTCTTCATTTTTTCTCAAACTTTTCTCCCTCCCTCGTCTTCCCTCCTCCTTCTTATTTTTCCCTCTCATCTGCTAAGCTAGCAGGAAAAGTGTTTTTTTTTCCCTGAATCTCTTGTGTCAGCACCACTGTCAGACCAACACACCACTTCCTAACTAAATATTATTCCTGCTTCCTTTTTCCCACCACCAGACTCTCTCTTGTTTTATCTGGACATGCTCACATTAACACTATTTTGTTTCCTGAAGTTTTCATCACCTTGTTGGATTTCCTTCTGCTCTTCTTCTTCTGTGTTTACCTTTTAATCTGCATCCATTTCCAGGTTATTAATTAAGGTTAATTCATTGTTATTGATTAACTGAGTTCACTAGGCGTGCTCCATTCAAAATATTTTCAGATTTTATTACATAGAAAATTAAGATGAAATTCAAAAGAATTCATAAAAGTCTCTGCTACATACAATGGCTTTATTTCTAATCAATTTTTAGTTTATGAGTGATGCAAGATTAAAACATTTTTGTGGTAAATGAGAAAAATGCTTTTGAAAAATGGTCAACTGATGGAAACAAAACATAATTTAGTTGGATTGACATTTGAAAGTACATTTTAGCAGAATGTGGTTTCACTTTAATATTTGCGGTACATTAGATCACAATAAAAAATATGAGGTGATACTAATATGATAGTATAATAGAAATATTAGGTGATAATAGGAGACATAAGTTGCCTACCCTGTCTTTAATATATTCTAATGGCTTTGATTTATTGTAATATTACTGTTTAATATAGTCTACACTGACACACATGTATACACACACACCCCACCACCCCTCAATATTTCTGCCAGTAATGGTGAGCCATTAGCTGAATAAGTGCTGACTTTAAAAAGTTAACAGGGGTGCTTAACACAAACAACACACACACACACACACACGCTGTAAACCCATCAATGTTTCCTGTAGGAGTGTGTACATGACAGCATGGAGCAGATAAATCAATCATCTTAAACAAGTGCTGCAGGTCACTGAGTCAGGGATTAGAGCTGCTGATGGAACCAGGCTGCTGTTTCACTGTGGACGGAACACGTCTGATTTATACTGCACTGAACTATACCAACCAGGTCTGATTTGTTTTTTTAAAGCGAGTGCTTGTTACAAATAATCGAATCACCTTCAGTCGTTTAGCCTTGAGCTTCACTAAATCCATGCAACAAACAGATGAACCGTCTTTGAGGTGAAGTCCTTGATGAAACAAATGCATGTAATTGTACTTTACACACAGAAAGAAATGAGCAAAGAAATGTTTTTGCTCTCATTATGACTGCAGCTGTTGGCTCTATGTTTTACTGTAAGTCAGGCCATTCCTTTTTGAAGTTTTGATAGGTATCTTTTTATCCAGACATTTTGACCCTCATCTGTATGAAGTAATTAGGTTTTTCTTTGAGTCAGGGTTGGTCAGATTGTAGGTCCTGATGTATTGGAGCATCTCTGGGCATTTTCTGTTTCACGATGAGGATGGTGTCCTTTGGGTTCTATGCCTCTCCTTTACTTGACGATTTTAATTGTATAACAAAAAATGTGAAAATCTTTTTCGTGTTGCATATCAACAATGATGTGCAACCCCACTTTGTGTAAACCAGGCAGTAAAAAATAGTTTTTTTTACCTGACTTTCTGATTTAGCTCTGTGTTCAGATAACAATGTTTTCCTGGTATTTCTTTTTTCTTTTTAACTTTTTCTAAGGACACTAACCTCTGAGTCAGTCTGTTGCGCAAACCTGCTCCTATTCATTGTTTTTATTATTTGCTTTCTGCTTCAGGTTTTGATGCTCTGGGAGACTTGTTAAAGCCCACAGTTCCCACACACACTGCACCTCCTCCTCCTCAAATGGCCATTCACCATGGAGGAAAGCTGCTAGCCAACGACCTCGACTCCTCTCTGGCCAACCTAGTGGGCAGTGAGTGTCGCTTTACACATGCGTTTTGCAAACATCTGTCTTTAATTATTTTCTAACAGTGTTTGCCAGGTTTATTAGTGAGTCACTCATTTAATTGACTTTATTAAATCTATGTGCACATAAAACAGGTTGATTGCAGTGCAATAGTGGAATTTGCAGTTAGCACCATAAGTGACATATTTTTTTATTTAGATCACGTTTAGGTCCCGCCACGTATTCTGAAAAATGTCTACATTAAAAATATATGCCATATCATGTATGACCACAAGAGGACATGAGAAATGAACACTGCACCGCTGATGAACTACCTCACTTAACTGTAAAGACTTCCATGAAGAACACAAATGAAATGTGACCAAAAAGAAAAGGCCGCACTGCAGAATTGAATCTGCAGATTATGAAGTATTCAGCCAAACATGGTACTGGAGCAGCAGAAGGAACTAATGGACTAACTGGAACCGATGCTGATGGTGCCCAGCTGAAGAGGAGATGATGTTTCATCAGCCAGTCAGATCCTTGCATTTAAGAGACTTTCACTCAGACTTGTGATGCAGAGAGAAACGAAAGAAAGGTCGTTCACATGGCGTTATCAGAGACAAAAGTGGATGAGAATAGACTGCAAATTACACTGTCATTTAGAAGCAGACTCAAAACCTTTAGTGAGTAAAAGGACAAAGCACAGCACTTTAGCCAAAACATACCCACTCAAATCAGCACTGAGGACACAGGAAAATAGACATTTACAGCCACAGTATGGTCCATTTAACCTATGATCCCTTAATGTTTGGGTTAGGTTGAAAAGGTTTTTCTTTAAAACAAGCTTTCATCTCTTTATTGAAATATACATATTGTTATTATGTAATTAAAATTAGATTTTTTTATTTATTTGAACTTAAAAGATATTTTTTTCTACTTTATTTGGCAGTCTGAAATCAGCACACTAACTGTTTTTTTGTTTTCTTATTGATATGCTGGACCTTATCAAAATTCAGTGACAGTGACTAGTCCTCGTTTGTTTCCCTTCAGTTGGGAATTTTAACCTAAACAATTGTCATGATATTCGAACAACTTTGAGATTATTTCAGAGAGATGGTGATTTTCAGATGTCTTCACATCTTCAGCTCTTATTCAGCTACACTCACTAATGCCCCCCTCTGTGTCTCCTTCTCTTCCTCAGATCTGCAGTTTGGTGGAACCCCAGCCAAAAAGTAAGTGTCTTCACAGTGAAGCCCTTGTAAGTCATGCCTGAAAAAAAAAAAAAAAAGATCCTGGTAGGATCACTTCAGTAGGAATAAATAACTAACTTGATGGCAAATGGCTTCTTGATGTTTTTTTGTTTTTGATCTTTGCTCCAAGGCCAGAGATGCATTGGAACCAGCCTGGAGAGAAGAAGCTGACGGGCGGCCAGAACTGGCAGAACAAGACCATGTCAACCACACAGTGGAACCCCACACCTGTGGCTGCCCAGCCCATGCCTGTACAACACATGGTGAGAACAAACACACACAAACAAGGTGGTGGGTTAAAAGCAGAGGCTCAGTTTTGTTGTATCCTCGTGGTACAATGACAATACAGACCATAAAATAAAATATATAAAATCAACTTTATGTAGTTTCTTCCACAAAGAGAGAATGAGAAGCAGTCTTTATTTTGACCGTTAATTAGGATTAAGTTGTTGTCTTTATCAATTAGATCACAGGGTTCTTTAATTGTAGCTGAATTATTTTAGTTGACTAATTTTATAAATTTATCATGCATGTATATATGTGTATATCTATATTTCTATGTATGTGTGGGTATATGTATACACATACTGTGTATGTGTGTGTCTGATTGTACTCTGGACTTTGGGTTTCTGGCTGACGAGGACAAACTGTCACTAACCCTTTACTTCCTGTCTTTCCCTTTTCCCTCTCTCCGTCTCCTCTCCTCTTCTCTCCTCTCCTCTCCTCTTCTCTCCTCTCCTCTCCTCCAATCTCTCACCTTCTCTCCTCTCCTCTTCTCTCCTCTCCTCCAATCTCTCACCTTGACCCCACTGTCTAATCACTCTCTTCCTATCCCACTCGTCTACCTCACGTTCTGCACCGTCATCCACTCTTCTTCCCATCAATCGTGTCCTGTTTTCTCTCCTTTTTTGCATCATCATCTGTTGCTCTTCCTGTTTTGGGCTTGTCCACGTTGCCTGGGACATGTCCACTTGTCCTTTTTGTTCCCTTTTTTTTTTTTTGCCAACGCTGCTGTTCTAAACCTTTTTGTTCTTCTCTTGTGACGCGTTCTTTTTCTTCTGACCTTTGTCTCTGTCATCTTTACTTTATCTACACACCATTAACCTCATATTGTTACCTTTTTTTCTTGTCTTTTTCATCACTCACTGTCACCTTCTTGGTCTGGTCACGTGCATTTCCATCATCTTCCTTCTTCTTTCTTCATTTTTCTCTCTGTCCTTTTGTCTCACCTTATTCCTTCTTTCTCTGTCTTTTGTCCTTTTTTCCCTGTTGTGTCCCGCTGCAGAATGGAATGTTCTATGCTAGTTATGTAAGTACTTATCCCTGTTTAATCAATGAATGTGCTAACAAACTGCTTTCTCTTTGTGATGTGCTCCTGTCCTTCCTCTTTGTTCTCCTCCACTGCTTCTTTGTCGTTAAGAAACAAACCCACTTAACATTGAACTACTCCTGAATGAAGGTTTTGACCTAGAACTAATAGAAACAAGTGTATCCGTGGCAGTGCATTTGACCTCAGATTGACCTCAGAAGACGCTAAGAGATAGTGTGAATGTTTGTGAAGGTGTTGAAATCCACATCCAATATAAAACGTACAGAGCTTTGCGATCACATGTGGGTTCATGTCAGGTTGAACTTTACTGTCCATGAGGCTGAAGATGGTATTTGGCTCCACATAAAGAAGCACAGCATTAATTATTGAAACAAAAGCAGCAATTAATATAAAAAAGTAGTAAAGACTGAAGAGATGAGAGTTCAGTCACAGGCAGTGAACCTCACTTCATTGGTTTTATCATTTAATTACACTTGGTGCAAAAGATTTCTTGTAGATGTTATTGCAGGTCGTAGAAGACTAAAGGTTCGTCATCACTAGTTGTCCTGGGTTTAATTAAAATCCTGTTATGGACAAATTTCAGAGAGTGGAAATAAAGAGCGGACAGATTTTAGTGCCTGACCTGGAATCCTTAGAATCAAAGAAGTCCATCACTGTAAAGATCTAATTCTGCGTGATAATTAAAAACACATCAATAAAGAAAATGCACTGATCTCAAACTCAAATGAACTGGGTCAGAGAGTTGAGACCCATGATCAAAGAAATTAAACTAAAGAAAGTTTATTTGATAGGCCATGATCAATCAGTGTTTGGTACTTTGGAGAGCTGAACTTCATACTTGGAGCCACCTAGTGGCAGTGTGTCTTTTTGCCCAATTACAAACAGTTAGATGAAATTACAGCAAAGGTTATTTTTAAAAGGCCAGGATGATGGTGGCTTAAGAATCTTTTTTTAAAATTACTTTTTAGGGTTAATTCCAGGCCTTGCAATTATTTCCAAATTCCATTCAAAAATGGAAAATCATTTTCCTTAATCCTAATAAAAAATCTATAAAAGTAAAAAAAGAATTCTAGGTTAGACGTGTCATAAATGTTGTATGTCTGTATTGAATGTTGAGCTGTTATCCTTTATTCAGTCATATTTATCAACACCCAAAAATGAACATTTTATAAACTTCAGCTATTTACTCTAAACCTCTGTGGAAGCCTGTTCAAATTATCAAACTTAGTTAACCGCTGCATCTTAATTTTTGATTTCCAAAACTAACAGTTTGACAAAGAAAATTAAAGGGATCTCAGTTTTCTGTCTTTAAATGAGGCAGGAAGTAGGTTGTGACCTAGTGCGAGACACTGCAGTCAGGAAAATGTGCAACGGTTGCGTGTCGCACATCATAATTAACCACCATATCTCACATTCTGACTGTGACGCAATATTGATATGTTAACGGCAGTCTGAAAATCCAGCAAAGCCTTGCTTACTTATTTATTCACGTGGGTCAGGTAAGGTCAGCCCTCAGACTCTGCGGAGAAAGACATGAAAGGAAACACAGCAGAAAGTGTCCTTTAAAAGAAGCAGGCACAGGAAGAGTCAAGAGTTCAGCTGTGAATCATCACAAGTTGAGATGACTACACCATTCACGGTAAAGGGGATTTAAAATAATGAAGATAAAAGAACACACCAGAGATGGAGAATATCTGTGTGTTATTCCCATAGAACAGTCCAACCAGGAAGAGTGTTTAAACAGTGGATCTGTCAAAGACAGATGGACCGACACGCTGACAGAGGAGGTGCTGTGCTGCATCACAATCACACCTCACCTGCAGTGGTTTTCACCAGAGCACGACTCTTCCTGTCAGAAATGAAATTAACATAAACGTCCGATCTAATTAAAGCTGCACAGAGGGCCTTAGATTACACACTGGTGTCTATTACATTAAAGTCATTGTCCAATAAATCCACATGGTGACCCCACAGCCTCCACAACACTCTTCCCTGGCTGTGTTTGTTTGTGCTTGGTCCTTTATTTGTAGGGTTCCTGTTGCTATTTTCTTTTTTTTTTTGGTATAGCTTTAAATAATTACTGGCTAACTTTAAGCTTTAGCTTAAACTGCCTTGTGTATTTGTTAGCATTTATTGCCAATGCATGCTTTTTAATTTTAGTGACCACTTGAAACTCTCCAACCTCGGTGTGAAAATTAGTGCTGTTGTTTTGTTCACGGTGATGGGTCAGTTCTTTTTGTTTTTTTGCCGGATGTTTTTTAATGATGTTTTCAGGGGCCTGGTTTCTCTCCAGGTGAGATTTCTCCAGAGGGAAATAGTCTGAGTGCAGTAAAAGTGTGTAGAGTATTTGTGATGTTGACATAATACTGCAGTGAAGACGCAACACAGCCTCATCTGTGAAGTTTGAGTGGAAGCCTAAAAACTGAGTGTCACACAACTCATCTGACATCTGTTCACGTAAACACAGCTGCTGTGCTGGCAGCCTGCATCTTTGTCTCGTCCACGTCTCCTCTTTTGTTTTCAACTTGCAGACATCTCCCACCTTCACTTCATCGTGGACGTGGCACACATGGCTCACGTACATAAATTAGGAATTTGTCTGGGAGGTAAATGCACGGTGTGTTGTAAACGGAAAGCAAATTGTCCGTCACGTTGAATTTCAGGCCCATTCAGGCGAGGTAGATTTGATTTGTGAAGAGACAGGGAGAGGGTAGAGGAGGCGACCAAGGGCCTAAACGCTGTCCTATTGAGTCGCACCTCTTTAAGCGTCGGTACTGATTGCTCCCAGTGGGATCTCACTAGGTAGCTGTGCAGCACACTGTGTCGTTGTGCCCCCTGCTGGGCTCTCACTTTGTCACTAGCAAATCTGTTCTCTCTGCACCTACAGAGTGTTTTATTTGCTGTGCTCTTAGAGACACTTGTACCAGCGACAGATGGGATTTCTGTCTGAGTCTGGGACAGTAAAGTTTGTATTATGTTGAACAATTGATGTCTATAAGTGGAGGCTTTGTAGGAGGTCAGCGTTAACAGTGAGGTGAAGCTCACTCTCAGTGATGTCAGCTGAGCAGCCAGTGGAAAAACAAAACCACTCACACCTTAAAAAGCATCTGTGCAAACATGGTTTTTCAAACGTATTTAAGTATTTAACTTCATCCGTTTGATAACCTTTCGTCTTACCAACTCACCTGAATTATGAACCAGTCCATTAATGGCTCAACATTGGGGTGGGGACTTGACCCCGACAGAACTAATAACCATATCTGCAGTGACATGGACTTGAACTGTAGTTGATGTATGCACTGTATTTTTAAGACTGAGTAGTGGCAGTCATGTATGTGTGAGGGGTCAGCATTTGTGTTCGGGCTTGCTCAGCTGATTCAACTCCACTATTGGTATTTCCTCTTCCTTTAACATGATCCCTGGTCTTTCCTTCTTTTTCAGCCTCCAGCTCCCATGGCTTTCCCCATGACTACACCGCAAGTGCCTGTGTATGGAATGGTGAGTGTGTGGTTTAAAAAAAGAGGAAGTCTTCAACAAATAGTCTAGATTTCCTTCTGATGGTTCTGATATTTGTGCTTTAATAACGGTTCTAAATATCAGGAGAAGCGAGAAGACCAGAAAGAAAAAAACAAATGGTGTTGGCTCCACCTTGTGGCTGTTCAGAATATATCTGGACAATTTTGTATTCATGAAAATTCAAAGAAGTTGATTTCCATTTTTTGACTTCACATTTTCTATCATTTTGTAGTTTGACACACTACTCTAATATATAAAGAAGGCCTCACAGTCAGAACTAGTTTTAGTTTTACTTATGTCACTTCTGCTCTTGGTGTTTAAATAATCTAGTGACCTCATATTCTTCCTCCCTGACACTTTTCACCTTTTCCCAGGTTCCTCCCCAGATGGGTCAGATGGGCGGGGTACCATTGATGGCTCCACAGCCAATGATGTACAACCAGCCTGTTCTCAGACCCACCAACCCCTTCGCACCCATGCCTGGAGCCCAGGTGAGCAACAAAATACACAAAGTACTGTTAAAAATGATTTATTGACATAAAAAAGAAACATTGAGGATCCATATCAGAACATAATCAGAGAGAGAATTTAATGTAACAAACTAGTTAGCTAAATAGTAAGAAAGGCCTTTAATAACTTACACAACTCCTTCTATCAGGAAATTGACGGCATGTCACCCTCCATAACTAATGTAAAGAAAATCAGCAGTTTTTAGCTCATTGGTCTCTGCTGTCTCACTCTCACTCACTGGCAAAATAACACATATGGACTCAGTGATGAAGGTAGCAGAGGTTCCACATCAACTGTGTGCTGCGTAGTTAAATGACTAGTTAGGAAATATGGTGAGAGTTTCCTCAGAGAAAGCGCTGCTTCTTGGAGACTTTGGAAAATTTTGAATATTACATTATTTAAATGTCAGGATTAAACATGTCTTTCCTGGCATTTGGTAGTGTGTTTCATTAGTTCCAGCTGAACATCTGTAGTAGTCTCTGACACCTGTTTGTTTGTCTTCTATCTCTCCCTCTGTCCAGATGCAGTTCATGTAATGCAGTCAGCAGGTGGGGACACAGCGTGCCAAAAGCGACAAACAAACCAAGAATCAGCAGAAGAAGAAAAACACAAAAAGGAACGGAATTGTGTTGATGGACAGACAGATGGACGAATGGAGATACGTTTTGATCATCTTTTAACGTCTCAGAGACCAGATGGACACAAAAGGTCAACCTGATAACCAAAAACACAGGATCTAGAGAGGAGAAGGTGACCAGCAGAGGAGGGAGGGGGCCGAAGTGGAGGTCTTTGTCTGAAACAACTCCCGTGTGTGTGTGTGTGTGTGGCTGTGGTATATTCTCTGGGTTCAATATTACAGATGGTGTGAAGGATTCTTTAGTGAGTGCACAGAGAAGAGAAAGCAAGGATATGTCAGATTAGAGAGAGGTGGGATCTGACCTTCTTAATTGATATATCCTAGAGATGAATTATTATAATCCTGAACTTGAGTTTGAGTTTGACTCACTTGGAGCCCTTACTCAACGGTTTAACCTGCTTAATGTAGTTGTGACAGATCACGTCACAGCAGCCCTGGTTCAAAAAGGTCCAACTTGATATGGAAGGAGCAGGTTATCCTGTTGAGAAATCAGTTCTGGGACAGCAGGGATCTGGTGATCTTGTGCCAAAACAAAGCCAAGTTTTCCACTTCCTCGGACAAGTCAAGATGTTGCCTAGACCCCACTTCTAGGACCTTTGGTTTCTGACACTAGAGTCAACCCACCACAATATTCAGGTGGAGAAAAATGATTGTCAGACTGATAAAGTCTCTGCTGCAGAATTAGCTTTATTTCAAACTGGTGCTATTTCGTCTTCTCTGTTTTTGCCCGCCTGCAAGCGTGCAATCGTGGAGGACGAGTGTGTGTGTGCGTCAAGTGTTTGTTGTTTTGTTGCGTGTGAATGGCAGTTGTTTCAGACGACACCTTTCAGTGACCAACTGCTGTTTCTTCCCTTGTGTGTCCTCGTTGAAAAATATCCAAATTGGCAGATGATTTAAAACATGACGTTTCTGCTGTCTTTCCCTCTATTTCATTAATTTCTTTTTTTTTTTTTTTTGGTCCAGATTGACTAAAAACAATGAGCTAGTGTTGCATGCTCTTGTTCAGGGACAACCATTTGTTTTAATTGCTGTTTTTATTGTAAATTTATTAGCTCTTCTAAGGTCATTTTCTTGCCCACAGCGCTTTATTTTCTTTTATTTAAAGCCCCATAGAAAAAGAAATTAGCACAGATGTCATGCTAACTGTGACAGACAGGTCCAAACCACTCGTGTACAAAAACATTTTTGAAGTTTTTTAAAAAGTCTTTGAATCATGAATAGCACAGCTATGTTTGTCAGCAATTAAGCTGAATGCTAGCTAATGGCTGACCCGGTTACCCTCTAGTTAAAAGTTTAATGTTGGTCCCTTGATCAAGGCTGGAGGGTCTAAAATTAGTAAAATTATTTCCCCATTTGACATAATATTTAGTAACGTAAATATATAGTAACGTCATTTTTAAAAAGTGTAAAATAACTATCAGTCCCTTCAATTTGGGCTATGTCTTGGAGCAAGACAAAGATAATAAGAGTTTTTTTTTTGTTAAATTGTTAAAAATACAACTGGTTTTGTTTAAAGCCTTAGAAAATGAATTTTGACAACTATTGTTTTAGTAAAATGGAAGATTTTAGAATTTTTTACTCCTTATTAGCAAACCTTGTCCTGCTAGCACCTTGATACCAGTTTGTATCTGTTTGTTTTCATTAGCACGTTTCTAAATCAACCTAAAATCTTTTTGAACTTGCACTGAATCAAAGCGAGACCTTTTAATTCCAAGTGCAACTTCTGTGCTCAGAACAGTACATCACAGAACCCATGTTTCATCATTCTAGATCATTTGTCCAAGAGTAGGTTTTAAATTTGAATGAAATTCAAAAGTCGTGGTTAATCCTCAGCCAAAGCTTATGTCGCCATGAGATTGACTGTTGGTGTTTTTGTTTTGTTTGGATTTATTGTTTACGTGTGTTGGTGTGTGTTTTTTATGTCTGTGAAATGTTTTTCGAGGGTTTGTTTCGGGGGGTCAAATGTTGAGCCAAATCTGAGCTGAGCTTTGACTTGATATGTGCTCGTTATTTTCTTTTGTAAAAACAAAAAACCTAAAAAAAAAATTGAATTTTTAAATTTTGTTGCGGAATGCACATGCAAAAACTTTGCACTGAAGTGACGATCCTGCCATAGTAGATCTCTTTTTGTTTTTGTTTGGTGTGGATAAAGATAAGAGAGTTTGTAAAGTTGATTTTGGGGATTTTTACAATAATTACATGTTTGTCTAATCTTTGTACTCAAACATTATTTTCTGGCCATTTTACCAACAGATGCCTAACTGTTTGTAGTTCCATTCCCATGTATTTTTTTCTAACGTCAACACGCCAACCATCAGTGCTAATCCACTCATCTGCTGTGAAATCTTTTGCTTTAGTGTCTGTAGTTCTAGAATTCTTTTTAGTCTGGTTCTTCACTGTTAGATATAGGTGTAGATATGTACAAAGTTGTAACAATCGCCAGTTTCCGTCTAGATAGATTGTCCACGCCTGCCCATCCCTGTCGCTCTTGGATAAATATTGATCTTCTGGTAGCAGTCTTGTGTTAGCTTAGCCTCCTTCTCCTGAAATCTGTAGGCGATCTCCCGCTGTAGGTTTCACACCTCATCCCCATGCAGCCAGTGTTTAGTAATTATAGCTCTATTCTGCGCTCGGTGTCTCTGTCCTTTAGGTGTTCATGGAAACTTTAGAGCCTCAGGTTTTGTGGTCCGCTTTCCTCCTAGTTTTAATGTGTGCTGTTCCTCTTTAGCGTCAATCCGGTGTCTGCTATCAATGGTCCTACATTTTTGATTTGCATTTCCCTCCTATCTATATTGTCAACATTGCTCTCGTGCATTTTGTTCTGATGTTGACATTTGACAAACTTCTGATTCTGATTGGACAATTGGGACTGACTTTGAGAACATAGTCGAATCTTGTTTGGTATATCCTCTATGCATGTTTTAGAAGACCATTAACTAAATGCTACCACATTTTCACAGTAGCTACAAAGTCTTCTTTTATAACCTCATAATTCAGTGGTAAAGTTTGGCAAATTGGAAGAAGTGTCCAAAGTTCACACCAAAACAAATGCCCCTAATCTAATTATTTTTAACATTAGAAAACCAAACATGCTAACGCTCATACTAACTTGTAGTTTTACATTCTTATCCAGTAAGTACGATTGTTTCCCCTTTTTAAAAAAAATCTAAATCCTAAAACTTTTTTTTCCCGTTTTCTGTTTAATTCTTTATTGTCCATCACTGTCTTTGTGTTCTGTAAATTTCTCTGCATGAAAACCCAGTCCTGCTCGCAGTTATGAGATTTTATTTGTGTTTGTGTCTCCAGTGGTTTCAGAATTGTCAACTTTTGTGCGATAAGAGATTGTAGTTCAGATAAGAGGTCACAATTACAACAGCTTTATCATGTGGGTGATTTTCGTATCCACGGAGGTTTTGGTTTTCGGCCGAGCATGCAGGATCTTTTCAGGCTACTGGGGATTATCCAGTGGGACCATAATTCTCTGGGACTGCCAGAGGACTCTTGGGGGCAATTCAGGATCAAATTTCTTCTTTCTTGTTGGTTTTCTACAGAAGGTTGTCTCTCTACTTCAGAAACGCTGCTAGCATTTTTCTGCATCGTTGTAGCATGAATTTATAGAGAGTTGGAGGAAGTTGACAGATAAACCTCGATGTCATGTTAAATTGTTCCTTCTCTGCCCAACCTTCAGGGGCCAGATTCTTCTTCAGAGTTGGTGTTGGGAGCATGGTTGTAATGTTAGTGGCTGTTTGTTGTCCTGTTTCCAAAAAAGCATGATATGATAGTGATGGTGGTGATGACGACAATAACAAATCCCCTTTCTCTTGGATTCCCATTTTGTAATTTTATCGTCTGTGACAGAAGCGACAGATCAGATTGACTTTGTCGTTCATTTCCCTGAATCTGACAGATATTTGTCCTGTGAACAGGCAAGAGACTGTAGCAATGTTTTTTCTTTGTTTGTTTGTTTTAAGATGTTACTTCTCCTTGAGAAGTCAAAATTATTACTTTCAGCACATGTATGCCCTCAGTGCCGGAGCCAGTGCTGCACTGTGGTGCACCACCTTTGGGCCACGTTGAGTGTAGCGCTGATCGAAAAGCTAAAATTAAAGTGCCCACAGAAACAAAAGAAATTAAAGAACAAACATAGACGCAGATGATTTTTTTTCCCACGTTGTTTTTGTTTTGTTTGTGAGTCGTGTGTCGAGTCAATGATGGATCTTGTGCACGTTCCTGTTTTTTCTACATCAATGTTTTTTGGTAAGAAACCTCGGGATTGCTGTCCCACTATTCTGTATATAACGAAAACACAAACAACACAGAGCTTAAACACATATTCTCATAATCCACAGTTTATTTTTTCTGGTATTTACTCTTTATTTTTTTGAATGTAACAGATTCATGAATACAGCAGTATATAAGTATGATTTTTATCTCAGCGGGGGGGTGGGGCTTAACAATCAGACGATGCAGACCTCCGCGGAAATCAGGATCAGAATTCTCAAAGATGCCAAATATTTGTGTTTCCTTTTTAAACAGACTAACCCTTTATATTCTCTCTCTCTCTCTCTCTAGCTCTCTCTGTCCTCCTTCTCCTCCCCCATGACCTCTTTGTACATTTTTCTATTTATTTAATGCAGAATTATCGATCCTATCAAGCATGGTAAGGCTTACAAATGTTACAGTGGATTCAAAAAGGAATCAGGCTTTTATTTTACAGCAGAATCTTTGTTAATTCCTGGGATTTGTTTTCTCTGTCCTTTTTGGAAGAAATAAAGTCATTTTCCATTCCTAAAATGGCACTTGTGGGTGAGTTTTTTTAAATTTATTTTTAAATCACAGTGCATTGATTTAAAATCTTTTGCAATTGTTTTTTTATTTCAACACATTGTTTGAGCATGTCTACTTTTTATATGGAATTGGTTGCTACATTGTGATTGGCCAAGTCAGAATATGTTCCTTAACAAGTATGCTAGTTTAGAAGTGATGAATTTTGAAAACAAATGAGAATCTTTGAAGATTAACATTTTTTGTGTAGCCTAAATAAATCAAATCAAATGTTGGCCGGACTTCGCTGGTAGGTCGCTGGAGCTGTTTTGTCCACATGTTTTGGCCCCTTGTCCATGGAGAGCCTGTGCACACCCCTGGTGAAGGCAGCAGGAGACCCTGTTTGTACCGAAACAGCTGACACTCTCCAGCTCCACCTTCTGATAAGTCCTGACAGCTGTGAGTGGAGACATGGAGTTGGGGGTGAGTGAGTGACTATTTTTATCATCCATTCACTCAGACCACTGACACAGACTCCCAGTCTTTCTTTCTCTATCAGCTCTTTCCAGAAGCGCTTTGCTCCTCCTCTGGAGAAACTTCTGGAATAAAACTGTTTTATAGACCAGGCAAATTTGTCATTGTGATCCAGAAATTCAAGGAGGGGCAGAGTGAGTGCACCGGAGGGGAAAGAAGCTCCAAAGATGTCTCTGCTGTGCTACAATAAAGGCTGTGGTCAGAAGTTCCACGCTGACCAGAACAATGACGGTGAGAACATGCTAAACCTGGATCTTCAGATCTGTTTGTTCTAAGAGTATTCTTAGAAGAACCACAGTATGGCAGATGAAATAATATACAGTCTCGGTTTGGATACTGTACCAGAACTGTTTTACCTTTAATTACAATTACAACTCTAACGTGTTGAGGAAAAAAATTCAACAGGAAACAGATGTCGTTTAGATGAGTTTTCTGGATCTTGGTGTGAAACAGTTGCACAAATTACATTTTTAGCTTTAGTTTTCATCACCAAAGATTTTATTACATCAGTGACCAGGAACAGACTGGAGTGTGAGGAGAGTCAGGAATTCTGTCTATTTATTAATGACTGATTTTTCTTCTGTGATAATTAGTATGTCAGTATATATATGTATATGTATGTATACACATATGACATACTGATTATCACAGAAATTCTTATTTCATTATTCTGTTCTCATACATAAATACTAAGACTAAAGCTTTGGTCATGCAATTGCTAACTGTTTGCCAAAGTTAAGTTACTCCAAAGCTAATAGTTTATAACAGGTAATGGTTAAGAATAAAAGTTTAAATATTAGCCAAAGAAAAGCTAGAAAATGATATACAATACAAACATTCACATACAGTTTATTACTACAGTGCTATGATAAAAATGCTAATATTGCAAAGCTAACCTGAAAGTTGCACATCATCAAAAATATGCTCCAGTGTTATTAGCTAAGATGCTACTTATTTGGCCTCTAGTCTCCCAGTCTACTGGTCGATTTACTGGCTAATATGCTTTGGCTCGATTAACTTTCTTGTTGGTCGATTTTTAAAAACATATATACTGTATATATACTGTATTTGTGTTAATTTCATCAGAAGGAAAGTACCAATAGGGTTGTGGCTACTGGGGGTGATTTCAGAGCACCTAATTTCACAGGTAAAATTCTGTCTACAGAACGCCCCCTTGTTTTCACTATTTTGGATTAGCCCAACCCACGGAGGATTTGTTTATCGTGCTAGGAAGTCTAGGTCCGGTGGTTTGCTGAATAATTATTTCATTTTGAGCGTTTTACTGTTATTTACTGTCCTCGACGGTGTGGCAGCATTTTACAAAAAGAGATAACGGAAGAAAAGTCGAATGGAAGTTCGCAAGCAACAGTTTGTATATTACAGCGCGACTACAAATATGGCGCATCACCTAAAACGGTAAGCTAACGTCTCTGTGTCAGGTTGTTCCGTCCGCCTGGAGTATATGGACATATCAGAATTGGCATATTTATCTATGTCATCCACATGCTTTATTTTTCAAATTATTTCGTTTCTGCTCTCGTCTTCACCTGGTATGTTTAGTATATATATTTTCTTAAAGTGGACTCACCTTTTGTGTTGAAGATTAACATTTTTGAGTGAATAGACTATTTGTTAGTCGACCGTGAAGCTGTGCTGCTGTGTTCAGTCTCCAGTGTGTAATTAATTTCAGTGCGAAACAATTAGGTTAAAACCGATTTAATATAAACCAAATAGACTGCTAGTCTTTTTGTTTATTTATAATTAATTTAAGTGGACAAGGCTACCACGCACTACACGCCTCCCATCACCACGGTCGATTTTCAGTCGAAATTCCACGGCCTAGGTCGATTACAGTCATAATAGTTAACCTAAATATGTGTTAAGTTAGCCATAACTTTTCATAAATTTATGACATTTGGATCACATGTTAAAAGATGTCAAAAGCTCATAATTTAGAAAAAAACAAATTTAAAAAATAGTCATAAGTTTTCTCCACAAAGATCTAAATGTTAGCCAAAGAATAGCTACAATAGGCAAACAATACATTCAGAATTTAGGACTAAAGTTAATATTAAGTTGCTGCATCAAAATGCCCGAAGACTGAAACCCAGCTACGAAGTAAGGAATTGTTTGTCAGAATTATGATCCTAAGGTTAGCTAAAGAATATCTGCAAAAAAATAGTCTAACATTTAGCCAATAGATCTTAAACTTAAAAGTAAATGAAACACTGCTAAAGGTTAGTCAAAATGAGTCAGAGTAACTATAGCTACATTTTAATTTATAAAAACTTAGAGATAGTTAAAAAAATCTAATAGATTAAGCCAATTAGAAATAGCTAACATTTAGTTTAATTATATTAAAATTAATATTTGTTTGTCATGCAAATGATCCAAATAAAGGTCTCACAGTCCCAAAAGCAAAAAGCTCTCTTGTAAGTGTATCAGTCCAGACATGTGTTGAGTTAACCCAGAGGTCGGCTGTCGACCAGGTGTGTGTTCAACGGCCCACACATTCACAACCTGTCTTTTCTTTTTTCTTTTTAAGATTCCTGTGTCTTCCATTCAGGAGTTCCCATTTTTCACGATGCTCTGAAGGTGAGACTGACAAACAAGACAAACCAAAAAATAATAAATTTGACTTTTAATTTACAAATATTGGTCACACTCACATTTTTTGTTTGTGGTGTTCCTCCAGGGCTGGTCCTGCTGCAAGAAAAGAACAACAGACTTCTCAGAGTTTCTCTCCATCCAGGTGTTTATTTATTTTTGTGTATAGGCGTTAAGTTAAAATGAAACAACAACGACTGTCAAAACTCTTTCTAATCCATACCAAGTCTATAGGAAAAGTCAGTAAGTTGACCTGAAAACAGATTTTTGTCAACTGCTGCTTAAGCAATGTTTTTAGCCAATTAATTCATTAATTACAACTTTGTTTTTTGAGTATTTTTTTGTTAAACTGATGATTTTGTTTTGTACATAACAGTAACTTATCGGTATTATGGCTTGTGGCTACACCACAGGGCTGCACTCGTGGGCGACACAGCAATGAGAAGCCTCAGGAGCCGCTGAGACCAGAGGTGATGTCAGACAAAAGTGACGTCAAGCAAAGCAACAGCAAAGAAATTATCTACCAGGGACCGAAGTCTGCAGAGAAGATGCAGAAGGAGCGACCCAGGTGTGAGGTGGACCCTCAGGATCTATATTGTAGAAATACAGCTTTAAAAACATCGAAAACGACTAAAAATATAAAGAAATAATAACAATAAACATAACTTTAAAATACTTTGGACGCACTAGTTATCACCTACAAGACAAACGAATAAAGTTCGATACTTATTCCTGTAGTAACATCACCATCTAGTGGACAAAACTAACATTACAAGCACCTATTTACAATCAATATATCAAAAATATTTTAAAGTATATTTTTAAATACGAACTTTTAATCTTGAATTAAGAAATTAATTTTCCCCGTGTTTTCAGTTCAAAGGAAGTAAAGGTCACACTGCCACAGAATGTGTCGGCGTCTCTGTCTCAGGCTCTGCAGAAGCTGGAGATCAGCCTTAAAGCAGAGGAGAAGGAGAAAGGTCAGTGTTGCTGGTGCTTTTTACTTAATATAAAAGTGTGTGAGTGTAAACCAAGCAGGGACCAAGGATGTTCTGTATCACACTATGTTCATCAGCTGATATTGTACACATCCCACTTGACGCTACTTGCGTCACCTTAGAACAAGGCTCTGTAAATTTGAATTACATATACGTACTTTACAGAGATGATTGTTGAATAACTTTAAAGATGGTGTCTGTAGCAACATGCTTTATAAAGTTTACCTTGAACTCTGAAGTATTTTGAATTTTCAGTGTCAAACCTGTCTGTCTTCCATGTGTCCTTCAGAGAGTCAGGGTGTGATGCCTGGGACACGGTGCAAGAACTCTGGGTGCAAAACAGTGAGTATTATTGTTTGTACTGTGAACATGTGGATAAAAGTACTTCAAGTACATCAAAAATACTGTATATACATAGAAATGTATTTAAAGTCAAATTTAAGTTAAAAACATCACCTAAACTTAAACAGAGTATAAAAATGTTAAGCAATAATAAAAAGAAAAAGTGTTTTCAAACAATTATAATTACGGTTTAAAAATATTTGGAATAACCTAGATTAAGTTCAAACTTAAATTAAAGATATAAAAGTCAAAACTGGAGTTTTATAATAATAATAAAAGACACTACTAAAATATGTTAAAGTTCAATTGTTAATATTGAAAATAATAATTTATGTTGTCCTTGCATGTGTCAGAGCTATGAAGGCCCAGAGACAGATGCCGAGATCTGTACTTACCACCCGGGCGCTCCTGTGTTCCATGAAGGGTGAGTAAATCAAATGCTTTATTTAATCACGCTCATCCTGAGTCTCCCGATTGGTTGGCAGAGTAATTGCTTTGTAATACTATTCCTATTAATAGTACTATTCTTAGTAATTCTTTGTAATATATATTAACAGTATTCACTGGTGTTGGATTAATAGTTTTATGTTATCCTACTTTATAACGTAATGTTGAGGTGTAACGCAGCAGCAGACTGTCGTCTGCTGGACACTTTTTATTTACGCTTGCTGCCAGAAGTTTGTATTTCAGAAATTGTTCTAGAATTTGAGACGTTCAGCTTTAAAAAAAAATGCAGAAACTTATTGATGCACTCATGATTTTATCCTGTTTAATAATGCAGCTGTTCTTTTTAATAAACAAATGGTAAAAATATTAGTAAGAGTTATTTCTGTACTGTAATTTAAACAAGTTTGTGTTTTTTCTTTATCTGCAGCTCTAAACCTTGTTGTGTAATTCTTTTATTTGTTTTAAATGTTCTTCTTTTTGTGAAGATACAAATTCTGGAGCTGCTGTTCAATAAAGACCATCGACTTCAATGCTTTCCTGGACCAGAAAGGCTGCAGTACAGGGAAACACCGCTGGCTCCCTAAACAGGTACACGCTCAGTACTGCAAGTTAGTCCGGAAAGGAGCAGGGGAAGTACTACTGGCTTGACCCAGAATATCTAAAGGACAGTCAAAATTAGCCAATGAAGGAAATTACTTAATGCAATAAGTTAACAAAGGAAAATTACCTGCTTGGCCAATAAGCAGTGCTGAATGAAAACTGTGCAAATATTCAACCTAGAATTGGTTTTTTTTTTAATACAAAATTGTTTTGTTTTTTTTCTTCCACAGGACAAGAAGAAAGTGGCCTGTCGACACGACTGGCATCAAACTGGGAATAATGTTGTTGTGACCATTTATGCCAAGAACGCTAACCCGGAATCTTCCCGAATCGAGGCCAACAGCACCGTGGTGAGTGAAAGAAACGTTGTCACTTAGAAATAAATACAAATGTTTTTGATGTAGAAACAATGTGAAGATGGGCAAAACTCTATTCTGATATGTGAAGGTTTTTTTTTTCTTCTAATTATTTTTGCAGCTTTCGTGTCAAATCCAGTTCGAGAACGACAAGATTTTCAAGAAAGACTTTCACCTGTGGGGGGTAAGAACAACATCCACATCTTAATGTTACACTAGAGAACAGATTTCATACTTTAACATTTATTGATGTGTTACAATGACAATAAAGGCTATTCTATATTACAATGTAATCAAATAAAAAAACAAGTTCATTATTTAATGTTACTTAAAATTAAGTAAAAAAAATCAATTAACTAAACTTCAGAAATAAACAAAAGTACTAGTTAGTTTAACTTGGTTAATGTAGAATGAAAAAAACTTGAGAGGAACTATGATGAACATGTATTTGGACTGAGAGAGGAAACTGTTTATAAAACAGGAAAACAGGAAACACTTTTTAAAAAGAGCTATCACTTAGGAAACTGATTGCAACCAGTTTGCTGCGTCCATATCCAAGGCTGCATTCTAATTACATTGTATGTCAGTAATGGGGTTACAGTTGATTCATCAGTCAGCTGATCCTCTTGTAGTAACATCCACCTTTGCCTCCTCAGGTGGTCAACATCAGACAGAGCTCTGTCAGCATGGTCCCATCCAAAGTAGAGGTTTCCCTGCGTAAGGCTGACCAGGTGTCCTGGGGGAAACTGGAGGATCCAAACTACAAACCGGAGCCTGAGCCGGTGGAGAACACCTTTATTGAAGCCAACGAGTCCCTCCAGACCAGCTGGGACATTGAGGACGACGACATCAGTGACTCGGACGAGGAGTGGGCCTACGACACGCCAGAAAACAAGGAGAACAAGAGTGAGGTGAAGAAAACCAGCAATCCACAGATTGACCAGAGGAAGGAGCTGGAGGAGGAGATCAAAAAGGCCATGGAGGAGAAGAGGAGGGCGGAGGAGGAGAAGAGGAAAAGGGAAGAGCAGAGGATGCAGGAGGAAGAGGAAGGATATGAAGACATGCCTGACCTGGAGTAACGTGTCAGTAACTGCTGTTGGAGATCAGGAAGGTGCGTTTCGTTGGTAATCAGTAACAACTTTTGACCACATAATGTGTGTGTGTTTTACTGTTAACTGTTAGTAAAACATGACCTGCATTATTTATGACTAATCATTTAAGACCCTAGTGCCTCCTCAAAAAAGCAAATTGGACTAACGTGCTTAAAGGTGGTGGAAACTATTAGAAAATAAAAACATTTACTGTAACATGACAAAGCAACACAGAATTGTCTTTTGTTATTTTTGAAATTCTTTTGTGTGTATAAATATGTATGTACTGTATAAACTATATATCTATACTTGTATACTACTATATATATATACACTGTACATATATTTACACACACACATATATACACAAACACGTGT